TNNGAATTAATATTTATCCAAAATAGTAGGTCAAATTATGGTCAATATCGAATTTGATTAAATATTTTCCAAAACTGGTAAGTTTTTGTCCTTTTCACACTTCTCATTAATTATGTCCTTTTCACACTTTTCATTAATTATGTCCTTTTCACACTTCTAATTGCTTCATTAATTACGACATAATTATCATAAATCATTCCATCTGAGCTTTTATCGTTAAATATAGCGATCTATTATGACCTTATCCCATTGATATTTCCATGAAGCGTCCTTATCGCGTTCTATTTTTTGGTAACCACTCTATATCAATAATCGGATATTTGGTTAATGATAACACACGTCTTTATTTCAAGGACCAGATATTCTTTGACCTTTAATTAATCTGAACTGATTGCCTTGACTTTTCAATTTTAAAAACTCTTTTTCTAAATATTTCGGCTTAAGATTCGGATTTTATTAAACAAGTCATCGGATTGTTTGAATGAAAATGAATGAAAAGAACACCAAAAACAGGTAGCCTTATTCATATAATCAATCCTAAAATATTAGTTTGTTCACCAAAAAGAGACAAATCCTAGAAATCTTAAAATTTTAGTTTGTTCACCAATCCTAAAATATTAGTTTGTTCACCAAAAATATTAGTTTGATTTTTAGGATTTGTCTTTTTTGAAAATATTAGTTTGTGATAATGAGGAGTAACCAAATAATCAAACTCATAATGTTGTGTACAAGGAGATTTTTAATAATATATGATTGTTACCGAACTTTTTATGATTCAACAATGTTCCTATGTATTTTAATGATTTCAATTTCGATCCTAATGCATGTGAGGTTATATTATTCTTCCAAATTTTACATCTCGTGCATCGCACGGGTTACGTACTAGTTTATATAAGGAAAAGTAGCAAGACCAATGATAATGTGCATAGTTTGATTAATGTGCATTGTTTTTATTAACCATTAACCTCATTCAAACATATTTCAAGAATGTAAGACAGTCCGGCCACAGAGGTGAATATTCTTGAACAATGAACGGGAAGAGCCAGCCCTTCAAAATCCACATTTATTTTCAGAAATCCATCAAACCTTTACTATTATCCATTCAATTAGGCCCAATAAATCAATCAAATAGTGAACATTCAGGTAATTCTGCTAAACTTCAAACTCTACTATATTATCCATTCACTTAGGCCCAACAAATTATATGGTAACTTTAACAGTAGAATAATAAACATTCTTACACATTCCTCAACTTAAATTTTCAAATATTATCATCATCATCTCCTCTTCAATACTCTAAAACAAAGTCTTGAAACTAAAACAGAAGACAACCTCAAAACTCTAAGATATGAGCTCAGATCCTTGCTCAAGCAGACTTTGTGCCAATTTCTCATTAGCAGATTCCGAGGGGTGAAATCCATCCCAGAAAACGTACTCTGTCGCGTTCGAACATGTTCCTACAGATATCGAATTGCACAAAAACGACGTCTCGATTAAGCCCGTCCCACAGCAACTCTTCGTCGACTGGAAAAAACCTGCCAAACCAAATGCACTATATTATATATCCAATGAGTTCCCTTTCTTGCATTATTATTATTTATAAAAAAAAAAAATCTTGAAGCTTTTTAAATATACCGCCATCACTTGGTTTTGAGACCAAATCCAAGAGAGGCTGGTAGATATCAAAAACCACAAGTTTCAATCCTGGATGATTGGCCCTCAAATTCCGAGATGTCGCATTCAGTTTTTCGTTAAACGAAACAGCGTCTCGGTTAAGCCTATCAACACACTGATTGCTTCCGAAGCCGAATAAGGTAATGGCAGCTGGCAAACATCCGGTTGGCGGCAGAGTCGTGACCCCAATTCTTCTTGCTCCAAGATTGTATAGGTTCTGTCCAAAGATCCCTTTTTTATTATTGCAAAAAATATAAAATTTTATTTTTCTTTGTTTAAGCTGACTCTATAAACTGTGAAACCTGGATTAAGGAAGAATAAGATTTCATGAGAAGGTCGGAAAATTGGTCCGGGCTGTAAGCTCGGTTGAGAAGGGAATTAATGTAATAGTTCTGGATAAAATCACTAGTCCCAGCACTTATAAGATGAATTGCTTTTGAGAATATAGCACTAGCTTTATTCCTTCCCACCAAAGTCACCACTTTGCTCTGCCAGTTCTTGTAGTAGCCGAGCTGCTGTGCCAGTGACAGAGCCCCCTGCAAAGAATACGAAAAAATCATCTTATATTTTTTTTTTTTATCTTTTTTTCATTTTTTTTAATATAATAACATAACAATTTTGGATGAGAAAAAAAGACTAACATATAGTAGTGGTGTGCTGTCGAAATAGCCGGAAGTAGCCGAGGCAAAGTTGGCGCCGATGAGAATATTCTTCCCTTTGGCTTCTCGGCTGAGGTATGCCGGTTGATATGAATCGAACCCAAGATACTCAGCTGTGAGTGGAAAATAATTGTGTAATCCAAGCAATTTTAGCATGTTATTTTCATGCAAAAGTACGAATAGTGACTGTATATGTAGTTCAGGTTGCATTTTATAACAAAAATACTTTAGGTGAAAATCTCAAAAGTACGTATAGTACAGGTTGAAAAAAATTATTTACTTAAAACAAAATTAGGTAAGAATACATCAACAAAAGTTTGTAAGATGGTTTAAGTATATAAATAAGTTTGGCTAGCAAAAGTAATAATCTTTTATTTTTGGTGATATATGAATAATGTTTGAAAAATGTTTACCGGTGAAATCCGTGGCCAGCTTGCCATTGCAGAACCTTCCGGTGGGTTGATGGGTGACGAAATCTCTTCCGTAAGGCAGAAAATTCGCTTTAATGGGCGTTGGGAGATTGTTATTATTCCCAACATCAACTACAGAGTCCCCGAAAATGCAGAGGGCGGGAACTAAAGGGTCTCCATTAACAACAAGTGATGATAAAACAGAGGACATGGCAAGAACTAATGCACTAAATATGCACTTTGTGATGATTTTCATCTTCTTCTTCTTTTTTGTTTTCTCTTTAAACCTTAAACTTACTTTGTTTTTCTAAGTTTTGTTGTGGTGGTGTTTTTCTTAGTGAATGGAATTGAAGCAGATGGATATGGATTTATGAAGGGGCAGTGGTGAGAAAAAGTCAGCAAAAAATGGTCAAGGATGCTCATGGAATCTCAATTACATGGTGTTTCTTGCTATACAGTGAATGAAAGTTGTCATTATCTGGATGGCAAGACAAGTTATTAAACAACATATAAGACAAAAATAAAATCCCAGATTTTGGCACAAATTATGGTGTGAAGTGGACTAACGATTAAACATGTCAATAAGTCATACTTTATTTTTCAATTTATAATATCGAATGTCATACATTTATTGAAGTTATTATTTTTCAAAGTACGAGATGACTGAATATGAAATTGTGCACATATGTCTAAAATTTATTTAACTTATGAGATGCCATTAGAGTTGTTAAACAAAACGAGCTGCTCATGAGATTGTCTCGGCTTATTAACGCTAAAATATATGAGATTTTATGTGATTTTCTATAGCTCGTGTCGCGTTTAGCTCGTTAGTATTGATAAACAGGCTGAACTCAAGTTTGTTTATCGGTTCACTTTGTTGACAAGATTGGCTCAATAAAGGCTCGAGCCACAGCTTGAGTACGAGAAGCTTGTGCTTGTTTGCACCTCTTGACATGTGTAGTTGGATAATATAAATATAGATAAATTAGATTATTGGTTGTTTTAAACTACTTAAGGTTATTTATCTAGCCAAACAGAATATGAAGCGAATAAAAATGCATGTAACTTTGAATCAAGAAAACTTTTTTCAGTTGAATGTTGACTTATTTAGGAGAATTATTGTTTACTGTGTGGGGACAAGGGACAAATTAGTCGGTTTTACGCGGCTAAAGCAAAGTTGTTTATGGAGATGGAAGCATTTTTTTGAGGACTTCAACCCATTTTCCTATAGGATTTTGTATGTATTTTTCTTCCACTGCTTACTTTTTTCTCCAATAGTGGCTCTAGCCTATTCTTTTTTTTTTTTTTCTGTTTTTTTAATGAATCATAATTTAGAATTTACTTGTAGTTATATAAGATAGTGGAATAAGTTGGTAAAAAGAATTAAGTGCTATGAATTTTTCTTCTCATGTATGATTACGCATGAATACCAACAACTAAATAATCAATAATAATGTTGTCCAAGTTCTTGATGTGGCACACTTGTTCTTGAAGGTATCATACCAAAAATAATGCCCTTCAATTATTCCCTAAGCAATCCACTATTTGCTACTTCTAAATTTCATTCCAGAAATCAGGAATGGAAGTCATACCAAAATTAGTGATATTGGTTGGGTGCCTTCTCTAGGTTTGAAAAGGCCTTTACCTGTTTGACATGGGAGAACTCCACTTATTGGCTAATGGAGGTTCAAGGTGGAATAGTAGTCTAGTCACAAGAGTTTTCTCAGGACAAGATAACTCGACCATCTTATATATCAATACTTTCAATCCTTCAAAAGAGGATTGCTGGAAATAGACCATTGAGAGATTTGGAAAATTATCTGTTGCTAACTCTTACTCCCACCTTTTGAAAAACAAGATTTTGCAGCTTTATGAGGTTGAGGGAAGCTCTCCTACACAGAGGGATTGGAAGGTTAGAGATAGAAGCTGGAAATTGACAGTCAAAGGCAAAGTGAAACACTTCATTTGGATGTGTTTCAATGGAATTCTTCTAGTCAGCATTAATGTCCGGCAAAAAGGTATAAAGGTGGATGTCATATACAGAATGTGTGGTGAGAGTGAAGAGACAGTCGAACACTTGCTTTTTAATTGTAGGAGGGCTAAAACAATCTGGAAGTTGGCACCTTTAGACTGGAATGAAATCCAAAACCATGCAGGGAGTTTCAAGCAATGGTGGTGGCAAGTTTGCTCAACTGACAGCTCTAAGATTTCTAAAGCCCGTATTCAACTTACTACATATATCCTTTGGTGGCTTTGGCGTCAAGAAATCTTTGGCTTTTTCAAGGACAGAGACAACCAGAGTTTATTGTTTGTAGTAATTTGGGGGTAGATGATAACCCAGCTACCCGGACTTGGGTTGTTCTCAAAGGAATGCTATTCGGAGTTTTGTTCACTATCTAGTCGTCAATTCACATAATCGAAAACAAGGTCCTAAACTTGCTACTTGCTTGATGGTATTGAATTGCATGAATTAAACTAGGAATCTAAGAGCAAATGATGAAAGATGCAACATTAAGGAGAAAGATCGAATCTTTGGTTGCACGGAGTATACATAACTCAAGAAAATGAAAACAAACAAGAGAAAACATACGAGCAAAGTGATCCTAGATAATCTAACACGAGCTTTCTACACTAAATCATCACGCTTGGAGCTAAGTCGAGATCTCTATACAAGATAAGTACGTATTAAGTTCCTAACACACGTAAGCAAGTAATGAAAATAAAGTAAAGACCTAGAATCGAGCATAGACACAAAATTTAAAATAACAAATTCGAAGTAGTAAGCCCTAAGCAAGGTACTTACTCTCCTATCGCATGCCCGGACGAAAATAGTGTGTAAAACTCGAGTCTTGATAAAAAATAAGATTGTCGGAATTTTGTCAGAAAAATCGAGTCATGAATCTTTAAACCAAAGCATAAAAATAAAAGAGAAAAAATAGAGAGGATTTTCTCAACTTAAAAGTTGGAAAATGAGGGGTGGTGTCCAAAAATATAAAGCACAATGTCTATTTATAGCTACACCACAAATACAAACTAAAAACACACATTATTAAAAACACACTCGCCCAGAATGGGTAATTTTCGCCTGGCGAAACCCGGGCGAGTGCTGGGGGGCATGGGCGAGTGCCCTGGCCGCCCGGCGAAACTCGGGCGAGTGTTGGGATGCGTTGGCGAGTGCCAGAGCCGCTCGAGCAAAAATGGCGGGCGAGTATCAGGGCTGTCTGACGGGATGTTGGGCAAATGCTCGAGAGCGCGTGGGGCACGGGTGTGGGCGCGGGTGCGTGCTATGACTCTGACATGGACAGGGATGGCTCGAAAATAGCTCAGAAGGGTTGCCAAAAGTTGCTGAGTATTGTCGGATATTTTTGGAGAGAAATATTTGAAAATGAGAGAGGTAAAAAGTTGTAGATGGGGAAATGAGAGTGCTTTTATAGCACTAAAAGGGAAGTGCGAGAATGGAGGTCGCGTGAGTAGTTGGATCAGGCACCATCTAGTGGTCTGGATTAACTAGGAGAGATGGATGTGACAGATGTTGAAAGGTCCTCGCTTGAGCGTTGATCTGGCAGAAGATCAGCAATCCAAAGTGATGCGCGTGTCTTAGGGTTTGAAGCATTTTTTACAAGCAAGACTCCCAGGTCAGCTAATAAATGACATTTAAGGCTAAAAAGATAGTGTGCAGGGATGAGACATCAATCATTCACAAGTTCCAAAAGCTCGTTCAAGAATAGGGGGCAGCCAGAATAGTTTGGTGAACCGACTGGAGTGGTTATCTTGGGTATGGCCGGTTCAAGGGAGTTTATGTTCACTATCGATGTTTGACCTCGTCATGAACCTCGTTTAAGTAGCTCAGGATATAAGTCGACCTAGTCAAGAAACTCGGGAAGATAAGAGAGCATCATGACCTTGAGGTCCATCGGTAGAGGTCGCGGTTGCGATCTGGTAAACATTCAAGGCGGTAAGGTCATGAGGTCGCTAGGACGATCTAAAGACCTAGGAGTCGTATGATAATGGGGATAAAATTCTTTTAGGGATGGAAAATATATCTCCCTAAGGAGTCTAAGATCCCAGAGATGTGTTAAGTTGGGAAATTATATATAATAGGATTTTTTTCCTAACAAGGACTCTACTTGAGAAAGAAGATAACCTGGATATATAAGGGTTACCAGGTTCTACTTTTACATAAGCCATTATTATACGATCTTAAGCACAAGTGGGTACTGACTTTTTGTGTGAGTAAAATTTTGTATGTCATATTAGTTATAAACTAGTACGTACCCCGTGCGATGCACGAGACAAAAATATTAAATGAGTTATTTTCACAGACTTTCTCCATTTAAGTATATAAAGCAATAGAGTTATCATTTATTTTTCACCTCTTATAATCAGCGTTAAGTGTAATAAACAATAAGGTTACAATCTATTTTACACCTCTTTTAATCATCGTTGTTTTTTTAGTCAAAACATTAAATATGAGCATATTATGGCTAGCTTGTAAAATAATTAATATATTATCTCACTAACACATTTATACTAATATAAATTTGATTTTAATATATATATTTATTCCTTGATATAAGAGAGAATAACAATTTTACTTATTCTTGTTCACCATAAAATACTTAATTATTATTTTATTATAAACGTTGTTGTCATATAATGTCATTATTATTTATATAGTTATAAAAGTTGTACGTCTTCTTTTTATTTTTATTTTATGTAATGAAAAATATTTAATGCTGGTTAGTATTATTTATTTATGTAATCAATACGTGAATAAATTTAAAATTAAATAGTGTATAAATATTTTACAAAATATACACATGTTTTTTTAGAATTTAATTTTGTATATTAATTAAACAGCTTTGATTTAGAAAATGTCAAAAATTCAATCCTTTATATGATCAAGATTTTTCTAATTCGCATTATAAGGATTTATAGTTTATTTAGCATACACTACAATGAAAATATATTTTACAAGAATTTAATTATAGAAATAAATCAAAATAAAAAAATAAAATAAAAAAATCACGGGTGCCAATAATATATAAATAAATTCTAAAAAATAGTTAATATATTTTAATTTTAATTTTTTACCATTAGTATTATTTAATGTATCTGGTCATTATCTCTTAAATGATATATTATATTAATTTGAAGAACAATTTATTTTTTATATTTAACAAAATAAAGCTTAAGAAAAAAAAATATTGGCAAAGATTAATTCACCAACTTGATTTTGTCTGATTACTTGGAAAAAAAACATTCTATCTAACTTGTTACGATTTTCTATAAATATTTTTAGATAAAAAGTGAATATTTGTAATATTATGGTTAGAACTTAAAATATGGTGTAATATTTATCTTGACCAAAATATTATCAACATGGATCATGGAAATCAATTTTGTAATTTATTATAATGAATATCAATGAAAGTAATACAAATATTAATAAAATAATATTTGTTTTG